GTACAGCTTTTGCAGATTTCATGTTACCCAGAAATTTGTTCCAAATATTAAACACATCCCTATTTCCAAAACCAGTATTTACCCAGATCTTTCCTCAATCTAAACATATCCAATTAGATTGCCCCATTTCTGTATTCTATTTTGTGAGTGATATTGCACTGGATTTGCAATATATGTGTTCAGTTTTTTTTTCTACCACAAACGTGGCCACACATTTACAATGCTAACCAGCATATATACATTTTCTTCTGTCCTCCATGGACAGGGTTAGAGAAGTGTTAAACATATAGTTCAAGGGTTTATTGAACAATCAACCACAGAAGGTGATTCGGTGCTTTTAAAATGCTAAGCTAACCTACATACGTAAATACATAGATACACAGATTTACGTATGTCCTACATAAAGTGTTCGATGTGTCTTTTACACAGTGTCATTAATGTGCATTTACAAAGGTGAAATGTAATTCTGATCAGCTTCCACATGTGTTCAGTTGGCAGTTGACCCATAGCAACAAAGGCACACACTCGTTTCCATCTCCCGTTCTTGGAAGAATGCCACACACATGGCGGTCTTCCCTTCTATTCTCCTAACTAATTCAATGGCGGCCTTAAACTTCTGAATTTAGTGCCTCATTCCCACCTCGTCCTGCATCATCATTTCCTTCGATGTGAATACGAATAATGGTTTAGATTCCGTTAATATTACAGATATTGTCCATAATCCTACTTCCCAGCTCCCGGATAGCTCACTGTTAACTTTATGCAGGTGATAAGTCACAGTAACGTGGCTAAAGTATGTTGACCAGACCACACACTAGAAGGTGAAGGGATGACGATGTTTCGGTCCGTCCTGGACCATTCTCAAGTCGATTGGGAATGGTCCAGGACGGACCGAAACGTCGTCGTCCCTTTACCTTCTAGTGTGTGGTCTGGTCAACTCACTGTTAACCTGGTTTTTTTTTCTCTGACGGTAACACGGAAAGCTTAGTCCATGAATCTGTCCAGTGAATCCGCGAAGCCAAAGATTCTTACTTACCTCTTTTTTTCTGGTACATTCCTTCCAACGTCTTATTTTTCGGGTAAACTGCATCCTCCTTACAGCACTCCTCTAAATCTGAGAATGCACTGGGAGATCTTGACGAAAGATTGAGCCAGTCTCGCCCACAGACTTCCCAAGTCCCCCCTTGCCTTGGGTACCTCTCCAAGATGAGGACTTGGTTAATAATACCGTCTTTGTTAGCGTCCTCGTGTAGACCAACACGTTGCTTGGTCAACCTACGTTGAGAGTCCACCTTTGGTCCACAGAGCACTACCTACTCTCTCGTTAGCACTTTCCACGATCAGTAGCTTAGAAAACACAAAGCAACACTCCACAGAATGAACGACTGTCGCCAGAGTCCGTTTATCTTACGCCACGAAAACCACTGAGAGAGATAAACGCCTTAAGGACAGTTCAACACAAGCCCGACAGGTCTGTACCGCTCACTACACTGGCTGGCCTCTGCTAGCTGAGCATTACACACACATCAAGCGAGGACGCTATAGCCAAGTAGCGCGCGGTGGTCACAATGATCGTTAGCCAAGCCGCTATCGACTGTATAGTGGTTGAGTTGCGCTGAGTACCCAACATCATCAACGTGGTTTGCCGGGTAAGTCCACTACGGGCTCACCATAGCCCGTGCTACTTGCAACTTGTTCTGAGTAGCTGAATCTATAACAACAACAACAACATCAACACACATACAGCTGTGTTTCAGTACCTTGAGAATACAACAATAAAACACGTCCTGCTGTTTATTTTGTGTGGTTTCGTTTTTTTTTTTTTAGCAAATTCTGCGTTGCATTTCATGGCAAATTTCTGGTCCAATTAGACTAATTGATATCCTGCTCAGGTATATCTCCCCCCCCCCCCCGCCACCCCCACAACATACGAGTGGATTATCCTCGTTTATATATGTTTTTTGAGCGACTTTTTACACTTGTAACAGATATGGGTTCACGATTCTATATTATTTTAGACGCCAACAGTTGAATTGATCAACTGACGAAGAGACAATCATCTGAACACAAACGTACATACATACACACACACATACACACACAAAGTACATGAACATACTTATGTACACATGCAAATCTACAAACACACAGAAGTGTACATACGAATACATACACATATGTACACTCTCTCTCTCTCTCTCTCTCTCTCTCTCTCTCTCTCTCTCTCTCTCTCTCTCTCTCTCTCTCTCTCTCTCTCTCTCTCTCTCTCTCTCTCTCTCTCTCTCTCTCTCTCTCTCTCTCTCTCTCTCTCTCTCTCAATATAATCCGTCCAATACCTTGCCTCTCAGCTATTTAAATACTGGATGAATGGCGCCAGTAGGTATTTAGCATGTTAATAATTTTAACACCTTGTGGTGGCTGGAGAAGGAGACCAGGTAAACTCACCTCCTTCGCCGTAAACTGCCAGACTCTGAACCATCGATAAGTTTACCTGCAAATTGGGTAAACCCGGGTTCAGCTTGCCTGTAATGTTTTAACAACGATTAAACTTAATTGGGAAAATTTACAACAAAGGTTAATTTCATCCTGATAGTCAAGACCGCAGTTAACCGCATTCTGATATCTCGATTACCACAGTAAACCGCATTCTGATATCTCGATTACCCCAGTAAACCGCATTCTGATATCTCGATTACCCCAGTAAACCGCATTCTGATATCTCGATTATCCCAGTAAACCGCATTCTGATATCTCGATTACCACAGTAAATCGCATTCTGATATCTCGATTACCACAGTAAACCGCATTCTGATATCTCGATTGCCCCAGTTAACCGCTCTTTGATATCCTAGAGAATGGAAAATTACCATCTACAGACTTATTTTCCTTTGTTTCGTGTAGTTGAGCAAGCGAGCTGTTATGGGCGGGTCTGGGGCCAGATTCACGAAAGCACTTACGAACCTGTACATCTTTTCTCAATCTTTGGCGGCTTTGTTTACAATTATTAAACAGGTAATGAGCTCGGAATCACCAGGAGGCTGTTTATAACAATAACAACAGTTAATTGGCAAGTTTTCATGCTTGTAAACTTTCTACTAAATGTAACCAAAGCCGGCAAAGATTGAGGAAAGATGTACACGTTCGTAAGTACTTGTCGTGAATCTGGCCTCTGGTCCTCATTGCTCATTCTTGAGGAATTGAATGTTTTCTTCAAAAGGCGAACGGAAGGGAACTATCAGCGAAAAGCACCAAACCCTTACGATTACGTATAGCACTTGAAAGGGGTCAGGATAAGGATTTGGGATTGGGAGGTGGAAGGGAATGGTGCCCAAACACTTAATGGACGGACAGTCGGGGATTGAACGCCGACCTGCATGAAGCGAGACCATCGCTCTACCGTCCAGCCCAAGTGGTTGGGCACCACTGCAGGAAACTTAAAAAAAGTTACATAAACTCTGATACACGTAAGTAAATATCCCATATATATTACTGAAGGGATTTGTTGCTGTTAAAGATTCGCTACCTGGAACAAAAAGTTCCAAGTAGCACGGGCTATGGTGAGCCCGTAGTTACTGAAGGGAGAGAGGGGGGAGTTAACCGGCGTTGTCCAGGTCTGCCTGTCTCTGCATCTATCCATTCAATCTGTCCATTGATCTATTTATCCATCCATCTATCTATCCATCTACCTATATATTTATCTATCCCTCCTGTTTCCCACCCTCTCTTTCTTTCAGAAAGTATATTAAGAACCACTGAAACAATAGAATGGGTCTAAGAAAATTATATTACAATGATAACTGCACGTTAATCACACTTAATATTTCTCACTTGACTCCTTTAAAAGACTGAAAATGGCCTAATGGTGTGTATATATATATATATATATATATATATATATATATATATATATATATATATATATATATATATATATATATATATATATATATATATATATATATATATATATATATATATATATATATATATATATATATATATATATTTGCTAATATTTCTTAAAGCATTTAACTTGGGCCGACTCCGACTAAGCTTATGTCCGTCACGTATCCCAGACCATTCCCCCTGCAAAGTTGGGTGAGGCTAGCCCATAGCGTTAGGTCTCCAACTTTGGACAGGAAAAATTACACAGACATACAAAACATTATACACACGCACACACATTATATATGGGCTCACCATAGCCCGTGCTACTTGGAACTTTTTGTTCCAGGTAGTGAATCTTAAATAACAACAGCCATATGTTTGAAGTTATTTGTTCTCAGCCACGTTATTGTGTGGTGTTCTCTACAACAAAATATAACAAAGTTCGTTATTTCTCGACTGGAATTACACAACAATCACCAACACCATAATTGTCGGTCTGATCATTGGCTCATCGACAAATTGCAAATGAGTTGTGGAGCGAATAATGAGTTTGGTATTACACCTCACATTGCTCAAAGGTCGTCCAGGCAGTTGTCTTTAATGACTACCGTGATGTTAGTGACTGTGAGGACTGTTGATCGTGAGGACTGGTGACTGTGAGAACCAAATCATTATATATTGAAAGATCCATCGGCCGCACCAGGGTGTCTACAAACACAGATATATAGCACCAAAAAATAATTTCCCCCTTAAAGAGTGAGGCGTAAACACATCGAAGTGCGGCATCGAAGTGCCGCACTTCGAACTACGGAACCAGAGTTCGACCCTCCCCCATCTGTCGAGCACATCAATGAGCACCAGCTGATACCCCACATGAGCAGCACCCGAGGCAGTGCTCATTCTGTGGCCCCTCTGGCACCTGTGTATAGTCCCGGTGGAGGGAGGAGGGATATTGACCCTTATTGACCTCCCTTAGAGCCCTACATGAAGTGGAATTATTTTATTACAATCAATTTTGTAAAGAAATATCACAAAAGCAATTAAAAAAACAAAAAGGTGTAGGTACCATGGATAAGAGTCGGATGTGGTTGATGGATTTATAAAACAAGATATAGATCCAAAATATGCATTGTATTATCCTGCACACATTGTATTATCCTACACAGTGTTGTAGAACGGACCTTCGTGTAATATTATACATCGAACGGGATTTTCATCCTAATGGGAATAGTAATCTTTGGAAATTTGGAAAAACATCTTCTGGAGTCTTATGCCGGAAGGTCATTAGCCATCATTGGAAGTAGATATCTGCATCTTAAGGGCTTCAGAAGTTTCTCTTAACACCAACGGTGGGTATTAGAAGCTCCTCTAACACCAATTTCTTTGCCAAACGAACCCCCTAATGCCAAGTGTATTATTTCTGAAGACCCTCTAACACCAGCTGTTGGTGAGTAGAGAACTTTTAACACCAGCTGTTGGTGCCTGAAGGACCTCTAACACCAGCTGTTGGTGCTAGAAGGAGCTCTAGCACCGACAGTGGGAGCCTGGAACAGCTCCAAGACCAGGGTGACGGAGGCTACAGCCACTCCCACTAGCCACATCCAGAACGCTCCCTGGAGCTGCCACAGGGTGAGGCTCTTAGATTTGCACTGGCGTTTCTGGACAATTTTCAGACGACAGCCAACGGGGTTGAACGTTTGGTACATGTATTCGACCACCCCGAAGGACCGCAGCCACCGGATTCTGCAAGATAAAGGAACATTAGCAATTCTGGGATTTAGAGAGAGAGAGAACGGGAAGTAAGACGTTCCAGAAATATTCAATTGTCTTTCTTAACTGGAAGAGGCAGAACGTGTTTGCTATAGAAAGAGGAAGAAGAAGAAGAGGATTTTAGCTAAACTAGTCGTCTCTTATCTTGACTTGCCACTCCGCAAAAAAATATAACTATTATACCGAAATAGAAATGAACGTAACCAAGCAATAACCGCCCTAACCTCTCAAGGCCTATACATAGAAAACGTAAGTATTATGGAGGGAGGGTACTCTTTAGCAATACAGTTTCAATACAATATTACAATACAATATATTACAATACAATACAGGCATTGCATAGGGTATGTCCAGACTGGTTGTATGACCAAGAAAGACTCCTTAAATGTAGGTGTCGAAAGGACAATAATATACGTAGAGGTCTACCTGATGTAGACCTTAGACCTAATAAATGTTCAGAGCTAAGTCCTATATACAGTATAAATTTTCACTGTTGTTAATCGCCTTATATGGAATGCAAAACCAAGAAATCAATATAAGAAATTCTATTACACTTTCTGCTGACTTACCGTTCGTTTACTTGTTCTTTAAGCCAACTGTTTTTATTAATCATGAAGCCAAGGAAATCCTCCTGAAGGCTCTGGGCTGCCAGATGGATCCTGCAGGGAGCTCTTCCTACATTGCCCTCCTGCTTATTGAGCGCCGAGGCCTGCTTCAAGTGGGCGCTCTCACTGCCTGGAGCGTGGCAGATAACAAGGTGCTTAACGGAGACTTAGAAATATTCTCAAGTTAATTAAATTGTGATGGGCGGTGCTTCTGTCTGAGTCAGCAGGGCCAGATTCACGAAAGCACTTACGCAACCACTTACGAACCTGTACATCTTTTCTTTAATCTTTGGCGGCTTTGTTTACAATTATTAAACAGTTAATGAGCTCCGAAGCACCAGGAGGCTGTTTATAACAATAACAACAGTTGATTGGGAAGTTTTTATGCTTGTAAACTGTTTAATAAATGTAACCAAAGCCGTCAAAGATTGAGGAAAGATGTACACGTTCGTAAGTACTTGCGTAAGTGCTTTCGTGAATCTGGCCCCAGAGGTCTCGAGGTTTGAGACTTAACCTCTGAAATTCATGTCTTAAGTTCTCTCTAAAATTGAATATCTTGAAAAACACTTTCATATCAGATTTCTCCTAAACGCAAACGTGACTAAATCGATTAAGAGAAGACAAATTGTAATCGCAGATTTAAATATAAATTATGTGTGATTACAACTGTGTTTTCATAATTGATTCAGTCACATTTGGATTCGGGAGAAACTTGAAATTAAAGTCTCACATATTAATAGAAATTTTAAGTAAAACGTGACTGAATCCGTGACTGAAACTATTAACCAAAAAAAGGGTAGCCCCATTAAACTTACATATTATAATTATTATTAAATATGAGGCAGAGCAAAGAATACACAAAGGTATGACCGACTCACTAAGGTATACTGTCTTGCTGTATATGATCATACGCGCTATATCGTTGTCCTGATCCGCGGTCCATATAGACAGCCTCTTGGCGATCGCCTTCAGGTTCTTGTTAGACGTGTTCTGTCGGAGATAAGATGAACCGGTTGTCTTCCAAGACGTGACCGGATGTAAAGCAGTAACCTGCTTTAATAACCGGGGCATAAAGCACTTCTGATGAGTTCTGAAGAACTCATCAATCACCTCATGACTGGGAGATTAGTAATGGCTATAATCACAGGCTCTTTTCCTCACTAAGTCGCAATAACGTGGCTGAAAAATGTTGACCAAACCACACACTAGAAAGTGAAGAGACGACGACATTTCGACGACACAATCTACTTGAGAATGGTCCAGGACGGACCGAAACGTCGTCGTCCCTTCACTTTCTAGTGTGTGGTCTGGTCAACATTCCTCACTAACAAAAACACACAGCTAGAGACCTCCTCAGATGACACACTATAACTCAGAAAGTATAAAATAGAAAACACAGAAAAAGCTATAGTATTTCTCCCAGCAATACTAAACACTTTCAAGACAAATATCTCCTATACGAAGGAGTTCCTTACAATCGTTAAGGAGCAACTAATCAACGTGAGATTAATTGATGAAAGTTAATCCACTTAAGAGGTTTACAGGCATGAGTAGCCATAAAATCAAGATCAACAAGATGTGCGTTAATCAGATTGATTGATTGATGAAGATAAAGCCACCCCAAGAAGGGGGGGGACACGGACATGAATACTTACACGGGCACTTACAAGGGCACTTAAACGGGCACTGGTAAGTGGTAGACTATTGGGAGTGAATGTGATCTTTTCGTTAATTAGAACCGCGAGTCTACTCAACAATGACTCAGTGCTTGGTGAGGTGAGGTCAGGTCACGGGGGAAGACATGCTTGAGAATATCTTACTATGAACAGCTTATGGTTGGGATCACTCTCAAAGATGACGGGAATGAGGTCAGGTTGGTTCAGTAGGTCAAGAAGAGAGTCCAGAGGTTTCTCATACCTGTCGAGAAGATAGATTGGATCACGTATGATCTCTAGGGATACCTGGGTTATGGGATTAGAAAATATCCACAGTGGCATTCATCATTTCGAATATGTTTATATGTCAACACCCATTCTCCTGTTTCGGTAGTACTTTCTTGTAACTATGTGCATCATAGTACAAACATTGACGTACCATTCACCATTCCATTCACCATTGACGGTCATTCCATTCATTGGCATTGACGCACTAAGCAATTAAATAGTAGAATTTTGTACTATTTACTATATAAACTCCACAAAATGAAGCTAAAATACGAACTTTAAATATTCCTAGGCCTAGTATAGCACACATATGTACTATATTAGGCCTCAGATATCGTGTATTAGGCCTAGGAAGGTTAGGTTAGTTTAGTTAGTCTTTGAAACATAAAAACAAAACCTTTTCTGGCGAGTCCAAATTCAATAGTACACATTGGTACATATTGTCTCTCGGTATATGTACTATGGTCCTCATCGTCACTAAGTACTACCAAAACAGGACGATGGGCTGTATATTGTGCCAAAAGACGATTAAGTGTACCGTGATATACATAATACACCTTCAAGACGCCACTAGAAACATCCATAAGAAGTAAGATACACTTAAAGAAGTTTGGGGAGGGAGATGGAGTGGGGAGGGGGGGAGACCACACAACACACACTTCACACACTTAAAAAAAGAAATTGAAATTGAAATAAGTTTATTGAGGTAAAATACACACAAAGGGATGAGGTAGCTCAAGCTATTCTCACCCCGTTCAGTACATCGTGTTAATATAAACATAGACACACATCACAAGCAATAAACATATTACCGAACATTCTGAGAGAAAAACATATAGATTCTCCTCCTTAAAAAAGAAGTTAGCGTACTTAACGAGGGAGAACCAGGCAGTTAGGTTGCCGGAGTAGACAGCTCCCAGGGTAATGGTGACCCCCCAGCTAACAGCTACGACCAGACGACCACTCACGCTCCTCGGCTGCCGGAGGTCAGCTGGTGGTAAAGGTCAAACGTGTGAGGAAGGCTGGAAGGTCAAAGCCAGAGGCAGGAAGGTCAAAGGTCAGGTTCCTTCCTGTCCCCCCAGTCATGGCCTGACGAGGAACAGGAAGGAATCTGACCTTTGACCTTCCTGAAGGTAGACGACAACTTATCAAAATCCCCCCACCCCCACCCCCACGAAGCACGAATAATTAATCGATAATTCTTATCAAGATGCTTTTCATCGAGGATTTTTTCCCCACATAATTTATAATCCCAACAACGGCGAGCAACGACATATTTGTTTATGTACTAACGTCTTGGCTTTTTCTTTCCGTAGACAAGCACGACGTTAGCCCTACTTCTAGACCTTGGAAGTGGACGTCTCGCACATCTTTTTAAGGAAACTGAGGTTTACACAGGTTGGTCCAATGGCTTTCTTAACATCTGTGTTGAGAAGGAAGTTTTTTATCAACTTTTTTCCTTTTGCGATGTTGCAGATTGACAGTTAGAATTGGCAATGGAAAGGAGAACCAGAAAAATTATGTTTTCCTTCTGTTGCTTCGCCTTGAAAAATTTTTGCATGTCAGTCATGCAAAATGAGAAGCAAGGAGTTTGGTTTTCTCTACAGGGGTGGATGTTCCAGAGCATCAGAATTACTAAGTTGAGGCTTAGAGGGCATCAGAATTACTAAGTTGAGGCTTAGAGGGGCATCAGAATTACTAAGTTGAAGCTTAGAGAGCATCAGAATTACTAAGTTGAGGCTTAGAAGGCATCAGAATTACTAAGTTGAGGCTTAGAGAGCATCAGAATTACTA